CAAGGGGCAGTTTCTGGGCTTTTCTCACAGATGCCACCCCTGCAGAAACCCCGCTACCATATCCTTGCCATGTAAACTTAATACATCAATATGCAAGGTACTGCATAATACAGTTTTTCCTCATCTGTGTTTTGATGTTAGGAAAAGCAGCTGTTTTGTAAATTGTAGCAGTTATCCAAAAGTGCAAACCATTCCAAGATGGCATGTGTATCTTTGCATTTGAATGATCATTAGGTCCTTCAACCCCTAAGCTTATCTTTTTTTTTTAATGTTATTTATTTATTTTTTTAACATAAGGATATATGCAAGTAATCTAGGTTGCCTAGATTTAACAGATGGAGCAAAATGGGCTACATCTGAAGTCACTGATGAATGAACACTCAAATTCTTATAAATATTCTTATTGTAGCCTGTATTTCTAGTGTTTGACCAAGGCAAAGGTCGAGGCAATATTATCTGTTCTATTCCAAGACAGTAGAACTATTATTTTTTTTGAACAAAATAGAGCAATATTTTGTCTTCAAAAGCCTCTCTATGGTGAGGAATTAGCAACCATGCTCAGGTTACATACCCAAGTCAGTTGTGCTCTATCCACTGGACACAAGCAAACTATAATGCTTATATCGAAGAAAGATCCTTCTGAATGCTTAGGCAACAGCAAAAATTTGTGAAATCTACTGTATAGAAAGCCAAGCCGAAATGGTTTGGGAAGAACCCATTAAGGTAGTGAAACTGTCAAGTATTTGATCTTCTTTCAGGATGAAAGTTAGTTTTCAAAGATATTATGTAAAATAGAACATTTCTAATGAAAACATTTTCCAGAAATTATTTTATAAACTTCAGTCTTTTGCAGTTTTTTTCATATTTTACCTAAAAAAAATTTGCTAGTTTATTAAAAAATAAATAAAATTAACAATTCAAGTCACTCCTTAAATTCATCTTTCATCTGGATTTCTATTTGGTACTGGTAGAATCTGCATCTGTTTCTTAATGTACTGACACCCTAAAGTCCTACAGTGTCAGCATAGGCATCTATATCTCAGTTCTCTGCTTTTCAGGGCTTCATTGCACACTTTTTCAAGGGGGACATTCTTGTCTCCATTAGGAGAGTGGGTCAGTCAAACTGGAAAGTGCAAGGTGTATTTCATAGAGTGAGGTTTTTCATTCTTTTGCCTGCAAGTCCTCTGCAGGAGAGGAAGGTGACTGCAATAGATGTGTGTCTCATTACATCCTTCAGTGCAGTTCTCATTGTCATTGTGATTTTCAGGCAAAAATGAGGGCCTGTTGCCAGAGGAGACCCTAAGCTACAGGATGCAAATTGAAAAGTTTCCACAATGTTGTCAGTACAGAAAGACTTTATGCCTCTGACTGGGAGCATGTGTCAACTGTAGAGTTGTATACCTTAGATATAAAGGTAATTATTCCCGTGTTGATTTTAAGTTGCTATTAAAAAAGTGTAGAATACTATGCTAACTTACTATGCTGGGTCCTCTTAAAGCTAATCATTTGAGTCTCAAAAATAGGTTCGTCTTTTTTTTTTTTTTTTTTTTTTTTTTTTTTTTATGGGGCAGGAAAAGCTCGGTACCTTATTTGTAATTAAAATAAATTTAAGTAGAACTTAGAACATTCTAAATAACTTCTAACAGCAATTCCTCATAAGCAATGTGGAAAAAGTGGGAATAAAGTATGTATTAATAGTGAATGTGCATACTGAGCTGAAATACATGGCATGAATTTAGTATTAAAGTAAATGTTTTAGGTTGGTTTACAACGTTTTTATAAAGATAATATATCATGAGAGTTTTGTTTGTGCTTATAAGCTGTTACCATACAATTTCTATGATCTAGAAATGTCTTTCAAAACTTCAATAGCATTGGGTACACATAATAATGCCCATTTAAAATTTCTTTTTTATATTTCCAATTTAGAATTTTACTAACAACAATTTACTACCGTAATATGTCTTCACATGCAACATTTAGCAGTTATGTATTCAGAACAAATGTATTTTGAGATAGAAAGGGAGTATTCATAAAATACTGTTTCTTCTTTTCATGTGCAATGTACAGTATAAGCACAACTGGAGATTTAATTCTAAACCATTCAAATCTACTGCAGTCAGTATCTAAGAATTTTTTTTTGCTGAGCTTGCTTTAAGATTTAGGACAGCCATATCACCATTTTTCTAGTCAGTACAGAATAAGCAGATTGGTAAAAATGTTGTGTTTCTTGAATTCATGACTAACTGCTAGTTAATGGGAAGTTTTAATTGTGTGTTGCAAAGAACTGCATTAGACCAGGAAATGGTTGGTATATTTCTCTGCAATTACAATAATTGGGTTTTGTTTTCTTGTGAGTCAAAACATTGACAAAAATTCGAAGATGTTTCCAATATTACCGTCGCTGCAATTTGTATGCTTTGACCATTAACAGTCATGAAAAATAAAAACGTTTTCAGACTGGTTTATTTTCTTTAATAGCTACACTAAAACTGTACTTCCTTTTTAAAATAAACATTTTTACTATAATGGCAGTTCTGACTCCCATAATGGAAAGTAACTCTATTTATATTTAATGATATGTTCCCTATGTGTAATTCTAAGAGTTTGTATGTGTTAAGGGCTCTCCCTGCAGAGTTTACACGCTGCCAAATTACATTTCACTGGCTATTAATTGTTGCATTTTACAGTCAATTCTTCTTGTCTTTTAATCTTAAAAAAAAAAAAAAAAGTCATTGTAGAAGGATCACTTTCAAAGCTATTTTTGTTTTATTTTCACAGACTACTCTTACTTTATTTTGTTCTCCAGAATAACTGAACTAATAGTTCAGTAATAGTAGCCTTAGTAAGTCAGATGCGTTAGCATAGGTGATTTGAATTTAATCATGATTGCTGCATATATATGTCATTTCCAGCTCTGAAAATGTGTTCAAACCTCTGTGGACACAATGATTGTCCCAGATAACTGTGTGTGTGTTTGTTTTAAAACACAAAATAGTAATAATAATAATAATAAACACCAAAAAACATGACTGCTGTTTCAGCTAGGAGAAGAAATACTTCTCAAAGTTGAAATGGGTCAAAGCACTCTGCTGTAGAATATCGAGAAATGTTTTCTGGACATTTAAATACAATTTTCCTCGTTAGATGGTTTCCTAAAAGTACCCAGTCCATATTCCTCTTGGACCACTTGTGGTAGCTTTTGGGTTTTATATATGAATGAGAAGTAGCTTGCTGCTGAAAGATGTCAGCAACTAAGTCTGTGGTGTTTCAGCTACCAAGTGTTAATGGCAAACATAAACCACCGTGACAGAATTGGAGCTGTTCCGTGCATTTGCCTAGTTTTTGAGATGTTTAATGCAAGACTATATAGCATTAAGCTAGTAGGTTTGCAAAGAGGGAGAGACAGAAGAACTCTGTGCAAACACTTTTGAGAGTCCTGATAGGAAACAAGGAAATCTACTCTCTTTGAAAACTGATGTAGGTATTTCTTGTTCATAAAATTGATTTTATTCAGATGGGGCAATCTGCTACGTGGAAAATTAATGGCTAAGCTGTATCCTCTGTGTAATTCACTGTGTGTCTCTGAATGCTTCTCCTCCCTCAGCCCAGCTTATAATCAGGAAACTCTGTTTCCTGCATCCTCTTTGCTCAGTCTTAGCCATTATTACCATCCATATGAACCACATTCATTTGAGTTACAAAGCCTGCTTTTTTTCTCTTTAGGAGAAATAGTTTTCATTAAAGGAAGAAAAAAAAAAAAAAAGAGTCAGCATTTAGTTTTATGTCCTCATAGCAACCTAGAAAGAGCTAGCTACATGTGATGGGTATAGTCTCTGTATCTTAATCTGAAGATTAAGAAATAATTCATCCACAGAAATATTTTGTCTCTTGATAATGGGAAAGTCCTTTGGGCTTCAGCATAGACCTACTGTACTCCAACAGCTTTGTTGTTGGGCCCTTTTAGTCCGGTCAGCTCAGTAAGTTGGAGGACAAAAGTCCTTACAGGTGAATTTTGATGTAGCAATTGGAGGCCATAAGAGAAAGTTATGCATAGCCATGGGAAAAGGTATTTGGCTGGCAGACTTGTATGTACTGCTGAACTGCCACGCGCTTTCTCCTGAGAAAGGCAGGAGGCTGAAGGGAAACATCCAGGGAATTGAACCACATATCTAGTCATATAGTATGTATATTATTTGCCAACATGCAGTGTGACTAAACGATGACAGTGGAATGACTTCAGCTCATTCACAGATAGCTGCATTTAGAGCCATTTCAAAAAAGAACATCTGACACTTTTTTTTGGAACAACTTTCTGAGAAGATATTAAAAACAGCTTCCTCTAGGTTTCTGTTGCAGGTCATTCCTGTGAAGAGAATCAAAAAACAGTCCTAGGCATGACAGAACCAGAAAGGTAGAATTCAAAATTGCTGGATTAGTAGCTCTTCCTTAGCAACACAATTGTTAGATGTTTAATCAAAAACAATAAAAAAAAATAAAACCTATTAGTGTGTTCAGATTAAATTGGCCAGGGAAAATCCTTTGTTAAATTACTTCTTTGAAGGGGACTGAACTGAGCGCAATGGAAATCACAGCTCGCTATCTGAACAGATACAGTGGCACCAATTCTGCATGCTTCTATGCTCCATTAATCTCTGATTCTCTTCTGACAGGTCATATCTGAGTATGAGGAGGTACTTACAACTCTTTGTGCAATTGGTCACTGACCACTTTTCTGAATCTATCAACAAACCTGCTTGTCAGTTAATGCCAAACATTACACAGGTTCAGTAGTATGGACATTCGCCTGTTCTGCAAGGTTTTTTTTTCATATAAAAATACCTCACTAAATGTTCCAGACTAATATGTTCAATTGAAAAAAAAATAATGATTTTGTGCTGAATGTACTTTTTCTAAAGTAGTCCAATATTTATGGTATTATAGAAAATGATTTTGCTTGTGTGTGTGTGTGAATATGTTGCATCCTTCTTGTTTGTTAGGTCTTACAAGGATGTTCAGGCAGTCAGGTAGGTAACAGCATCTTCATATGCATTCGAACGTGTTTCAGTGTTTTCTGTCTGCATGTTTTCCAGTACTACATGCATTTGTGATTTTGAATTGTGTTGGCACTCATTTGCATCTCTGTGTTGCCCCATTAGACATGTAATGAGTGATCATGGTTCCCTGGAGTGTAAGTCAGTATGCAATTTGGCCTACAGGCTTATCTAAACAGAAGAATGTAAAACAAATATAGTCAGCATTAGTGTATTTTGAGTGCTGATTGTTTTAAATCAGATACACAGGAAACCAGATGTTGGCGTTTATCTAAAACACTTGCAGCCAAACATGTAACTAAGTACAGGAGCGATAATGCATGGCACTTTTTGCATATGCTTAGCAATTTGTAGCAAATATGAATCTATTCTTATTCATTAGTTCACTTTATGAGTTAGTCCTTTATTTCTCTTCCATTTTATAACAGATGTTTTATTCATTGTGGTCTGATTCTACAGGCTTTCAGTCAGCAAAATCAAATTCAGGGAGAACATTGTCTCCACTGAAAATAAATTTAGATGTCTAAAATTGGGAACATACTGTGCCTTTTTTTTTTTTTTTAATTGTAGTGAGTACTTGTAGCTATCTGAGCTGTGTATGGGACAATCTTAGTATTTGATATTTTCAGATGGCTTATATTTGAGTACTCAGGATTTAAAATCCGACATTCAATGCCAAGATTTTGAACATTTCATATGAAAACCTAAAATAAAATTTGCCCTTTCTTATTTAGGCTAGTAATGAATATACTCCTGACACATTAGTTTCACAGTAATAATGAAGAAAAGGTCTCACAATATAATTTACATAATGAAATGATTCCATCTATGCTAATGGTATATTTTGCTGTATTCTTCCAAAGTAACTGCTCAGATAAACCTGGACACCATTTGACTGCTGAACTGAATAATAATAGCAGATTGAAATCTTTTATTTGCAAAGGCAGGCTGGTAGTCAGGTGCCAGACATTTATAGACCCCTTGTCTTTCATAAACCATTTAGTTTCTTGTTTTATGTGGAAAGTAAAAATTTGGAAATGTTTTGGTCTAGGTCCAAAACTAGTTTGCTCTCTACACAGCTTTAAAAATGGCAATTTTCAGGCAGTGAGGTGATAAGAGTTCTTTCTGCAGGAAAGAAGACAAGGAACAATGCTGCAATATCACAGGTAGTTTGTCCCTGTGGATGGAGGAAGTATAGTAACCCCATGCATTTTCTGTCAATGTAGAGCCTTACATATAAATTAAACAGATCACGTTCATGTCTTAGACATTCATTATATAGAGTAGGAGAGCCTGGTTTTAGGAAAGAGAATGTTTTAACAGTACAACTTCAGATCTGAAATTTGTTAAATGGTTGACTGGCAGGGTCAGCTTTTAGTCTGGGTTGAACCTACATAGCATGCACGTAGAATTAAGACACATGCATTATAAATTTAATGCAGATCTCAAAGACTGGACTGACAGTCATTTTTCAAAGAGGCCTCTTTTTCTCTTCATCCATTGACTGTTAAGAAATTAGAGCTTTCTTATTTAGGCAGTGAATTTTGCTCACTGAGTGAGCAAAAATTAAGAAGTTTTCTTTTTTTTTTTTTCTTAGAGCTATGTCATCCATAGTGTATGCTATGCACATTTTCTTTTAAACTGATAACTACTGTGGAAATAATTTAAGAAAACAATGAAACTTCTTTTGCAAGTGCATATGCAGTTTAAGAAATTAAACCATATTGAATGTCTGTTGTACCAGAAAACTGGTTTTAGGCTCTTGAAAGAAAAAAAAATCTAGACATTTGATCTCACTGTAAAGAAGCTGATAAGCTTTGTTTTCCATTGTTAAATATGTAGCTTTATTTACAGATCAAATTGTTTCTTTATTTTAATATTTCATTTGAAATTGTTAGTAAAGAAAAATTTTATTAAAGCCTACAGAGTGGTTGGGGTATCAAAACAAAACAAAACAAACAAAAAAAAATGATGATTTGATAGACAAGGATCTTAGTTTAGATAAAGCTAAGTGGCATTGCAAAAATCTCTGGGTTACATTTGGGTGTGTTTATTATGTTCTCACCATTTTAGGAAATAGCATTAAATAAAAATAGAGAAGTGTATGAGGCTTACGTTTTTTGCTGTTCCATTTGAGTTGTTTTGTTTTACGGATTCCCATGTCTGTGACACTTATTGATGTTCCTTGTATGGTTGTAGATATTCTATTTTGTATTTTCAACTCACTGTTTACAACTGTTCATGCTCAGAAAATATTATAAATCTTGTAACTGAGTAAGTACAGCTTTTTCATGTCATAAATAGGGTGCAGGAAGGAAAGATGGCTTCTCTTCTTTCCTCCATACTTTTTTGCTTCACTTCCCTGCTTTTCTACAACAAAAAAAAAACAGGATTAATTTCCCATAAAGTCAGCCTGGAAAAGGAAAGCTTATTAAAATAAATGTAGAGAGGGAAGATGTAGTTGTTCTGGCTTGGTTTGCAGCTGTTACAGCCTTACCATATGTAGTAGCTGGACCTTATAACTTTGGATTTTATTTCTGGAAAGCATCACTGCCATGTGTTGAATGTATTTTAATGCTCCATGTTTCCTCAAAATGAAAACATTATCATGAATGATTATTATGAATTACTTCATTGCTCAGAAGCTCACGGCTTCTTGACATTCAAAAAATGTTTTCATTCCTTTTTGTGCAATTCAGGGAATTTTGATTTATGATTGAACATTGCTGTTTAAATGACTTTTGGAAGTTCACTCAGGGAAAGCGACAATTACTTCAGAAAATGAGTTGTTTCCAGAAATAAAGTTTCAAATAAGGTAACTGCTCATGACTCTGCCAGACACCTTAAAGACAGAAGAATATTTAGAACAAGGGATATGATACTTGCATTTACAATTGATTCTGATGTTTGGATGTGTGTATCAGAAAACATTATTAACAGGTTAATATTTTAAGCAGGAACACATAATTAAGGGGTGGTAAAAGCATAAAAGGATTTAGTATTAAGTAGATCTTATTTTAGGATTACAAAGATAAAACCCGTATTGTCTTATAGTGGCTTAATACTAAACAAAACATGAACCTGAACAGACTCCAACCTGAGTCAAGTGTCTCTGAGAGTAGTGGGAAATCTTCTAATATCACAATACAAATGTTAATAGAATCAGAGCTGTGATTTCTGCTTGAACTTGCTGTTCAGGAATAGCACTTCTATGAAAAGCTCTTCTTTCTGTTAGTATTTGTGGATGCTAGGGGAAGGTTTTTAAGATAAACCTATTTTGTAACCAAACATGCAAAAAAATTATTATGCCCACAGATCTGTGTTGGGAGCATGGTGGGAGGGTGGGGAGGGGGTAGGCAGAGAGAGAATGTCTGTGACATGACACAAATACTTAGTTTTATGGAGCAAAGTGGACGTCCTCCATTCAACTAATGAAACAAGGTATGGAGTATACACTACAGAGCTTCTGTTTGTATCAAGTATATAATCACAGCCCAAAGCATTGTCTTTTTCAAAATGATTGTAGGAATGAAACATATGTGCAATATCTGTGCGGTGAGACTGTCATAGATGATCATAGTAAAGTCTTTACCAAACAGAAAATTTGCCTGTTTATGTCCCCTATGTAAAGAGGGAACAAAAGCTTGCTGTGATTGAAGATTGCCAAGCACCAGCTGAGACCATTAAGCACAGGACTATATTTGCCACATGACTGCAGGTATACGGTCAAAGAAGGGGCTCCAGGTGACTCGTGAAGTAAGAGCAGAGCTGCTTTGTAGTGCTCAGCACAGAATGAGGAGAAAGTGTTTGATTCAGTACTGGCATACTACTGTCATATCTCGCTTCCTATAAATATCAAGTTATGGGGCAAAAAGCCAATGTAGTACTGAATGCCTCTCATAGAAGGAACTAGCAAGCAAATGTACACAGTTGAACAATCAGTTTTCTTTAAGAACTGTGGATGCACATTGTGGACAGCAGTGTGTTGAGACATGGACACTTCCAGCTGATAGTGGAATAAATGGTGGATTGCGACCCTGGGCTTCAGGAGAGCAAACTTTGGCCTCTTCAGGGATCTACTTGGAAGAATACCATGGATAAAGGACCTAGAAGGAAGGGGCGTCCAAGACAGCTAGTCAATATTCAAGCATCAATTCTCCCAAGCTCAAGATTGGTGCATCCCATATGGTAAGAAGGCAAGCAAAGAGTGCAGGAGACCTGCATGGATGGGCAGGGAGCTCGTGGAAAACTCAGACAGAAGAAGGAAGTTTCCAGCATGTGGGAAAATGGATAGGCCACTCGGGAGGAAGATAGGGACACTGTCAGAGTATGCAGGAAAGGCAAAGGAGGGAAGTATGTTCCTATGAGGAAGGCCAAGACCCATTTGGAATTAAATCTGGCAAGAGATTTCAAGGACAATAAGAAGGGCTTCTTCAAATACATCAGTAGAAAAAATAAGACTGGGGAAAACTTAAATAAATAAATAAATAAATAAAAAAGAAAATTTCAGACCTTGGAGACAAAGAGAAGAAGTCTGGAGAAAGGAGCACATGCTCTTGGTCGAAGAGAGTCAGGTCAGAGATCAGCTAAGCAAACTTGATATCCACAAATCCATGGGTCCCGATGGCATACACCCATGGGTGCTAAGGGAGCTGGCTAATGTTATTGCTAGGCCACTCTCTGTCGTCTTTGAAAGGTTGTGGAGAATAGGAGAGGTGTCTGGGGCCTGGTAGAAAGCCAATGTCATGTCAGTCTTCAAAAGGGCAAGAAGGAGGACCCAGACAACTAGTCATCCTCACCTCCATCCCTGGAAAGGTGATGGAGCAGCTCATCCTAGTGGTCATTTCCAAGCATGTGGAGGATAAGAAGGTGCTCAGGAGTAGTCAGCATGGATTCACCAAGGGCAAATCATGCTTAACCAATCTGATGCCCTTGAATGATGAGATGGGTAGATGAGAGGAGAGTGGTGTCTGTGGTCTACCTTGACTTCAGCAAGGCTTTTGATACTGTTTCCCATAGAATCCTAGTAGACTTGCTCAGGAAGTGTAGCCTAGATGAGTGGATGGTGAGGTGGATTGAGAACTGGCTGGATGGCAGTGCTCGGAGTGCTGAGCTCGGTGCCACAGAGTCTAGCTGGGGGCCTGTAGTTAGCGCTGTCCCCCAGGGGTCAGTACTGGGTCTGGTCTTGTTCAACTTATTCGACAACAACCTGGAACAGAGTGCACCCTCAGCAAGTTTGCTGAGGACACAAAGTTGGGAGGAGTGGCTGATACCCAGAGGGCTGTGCTGCCATTCAGTGGCACCTTGCCAGGCTGGTGGGATAGGCTGCGAGGAACCTCATGAAGTTCAACAAGGGCAAATAGAGGGTACTGAACCTAGGGAGGAATCACCCCAAGCACCAGTGCAGGCTGGGAGCTGGGGGCTGACCTGCTGGAGAGCAGCTCTGCAGAGAGGGGCTTGGGAGTTCTGCTGGACAGCAAGCTGACCATGGGCCAGCAATGTGCCCTTGTGGCCAAGAAGGCCAACGGTATCCTGGGGTGCATTTGGAAGAGTGTTGCCGGCAGGTCAAGGGAGTGATCATCCCCCTCTGCTTAGCCCTGGTGAGGCCTCACCTGGAGTATTGTGTCCAGCTCTGGGCTCCCTGGTACAAGAGGGACATGGAGCTACTGGCGTGAGTTCAGAGGAATTCTAAGATGATTAGAGGAATGGAGCATCTGTCATATGAGGACAGGCTGAGAAAACCAGGCCTGTTCAGCCTGGAAAAGAGAAGACTGAAGGGAGACCTCATCAATGTATATAGATAGCTGAAGGGAAGATATCAGGAGGATGGAACCAGATTTTTTTCAGTGGTATCCAGTGAAATGACGAGAGGCAGTGGGCGCAAACTGAAGCATAGGAGGTTCCGGCTGAGTATGAGAGGGCACTTATTTATTGTGAGGGTGACAGAGCGCTGGGACAGGTTGCCCAGAGAAGTTGTGGAGTCTCCTTCTCTGGAGATATTCAAAACCCACCTGGATGCCAGCCTGCACAGTGTGCTCTAGATGATCCTGCTCAGCAGGGGGTTGGAGTAGATGATCTTCAGATGTCCATTCCAACCTCGGCCATTCTGTGAACTCGGACCTGTACTTCATGGAGACAAGTATTTGCTCAAACTTTTTAAAACAATTATTTTTCATGACTTACACGGCTAGTTGCACTTTTACAGTCTGAGTGAAATCCTTCATTTGTTGGTTATTGTATATATTCTTAGTATGTAGTGAAATTTGTAGCTTTCCTCTGCATTGAACTTAAGCAGTATGTTCAAAGGGGCAGTACCATCTTTGTTATCCATTGTAGCTACCCTGTTGAGTTTCCTGAGTTCAAACACCTGAGGCTTTAGCCTGTGAGAATTTTTGAACAGGGATGAATACAGGGATCAAATAAAGTACTCAATACAAAATGCAGTTATATGATAAAAAACAGTAAGTTTAAAGAAGGATTTTAGAGAAATTTAACAATACATATCAGGTGCTATTAACTGCAGTAATGAAAGTCTGAATATTTCCATCTATTGGCATGTCCACATTAAAGTTATAGATAAGGTGAATTTCTGCTTACATGTAGGTAGCTCTCAAGAAGAAAAGGTTGTTTTGTAAGAGGTTCCTGTGTATTTGAACTGTATATGTGCACTTATGTATTTTTGTATGGCATATGTTAAGCATTGATTTTAGTGATTCTGACCAAAAAAGGCCATGTGACATATTAGGACTATTTCTCTAAATTACTGTACAATATCATAAGGGAAATAGTTTGTATATGTTGTCACCCTAATGTATTATGATCTCTTTGATTTATTTGTGTAGTGAAAAGACATTTAGAAGGGAACATCCAAGAAATGTCACGAGCCAACAGCTTCACTGATGACATTGACCTTATAACAGAAGAGTCACCACTGCCAGCTGTATCTGATGTGGCACAGTAAGTGGAACAGTAGCTTTCAGTAGCTTTTTAATTGATAATAAAGCACATTTGTTTTTGCGTCGTATTATTGTATTTGTCCCTGAATAAAAGGAGTATTCTTTGACAGCACTTTAAGTGATTATGAGTTTAGGTAACTGTATGTGAATGTTTCTATAATATGCTTAGCTTTAAGAATATTGGAAGTAGTCAGACGTTTGCAAAGAGAAGAATTGTTGTACAATGGGTGGCTTACTGTCTTGGTGTCTTTTTTTTTATTTTTATTTTTTTTATTTTTTAAAGCAGATAACAGTTCCTCATGCTGTGTTTCACAGAGAGGCTTATGCTTTGTAGAATTCTGAAGTGCTCCTAGTATGTTTAATCTATAAATTGATTGGAAACATGAATTAAATACTTATGCATAAATACAACCTGAAAATGTAAAGTCTACGTTATGTGTAATATTGTAAGGAAATTATGTTGGAAAAATACGCAAATTGAATTATTGAGGAGATACTGATAGTTTCTGGATTGACCAGAACAGAACGTCCCCATTACCAGTAAGTTTGCTGTGATAGTTGAGTGAACTTCTAGGTTGCTTGTCTCAGATCAGGGAAAGGCTTATTGCACTGTTTCTTGAAATAAGTATGTTAGTAAATGCATGCAGAACACCTGTTTGTGTTTTGATGGGATCTCGAGTAACCTTGATGGTTTTTTTTTTCTGTGCAATATACAGAGGATAGAGATACAAGGGGATAGAGAATCTGGAGTATTTCAAATGTGAAGTGGAGCAATATAGCAAGGCCTGGATGGACCAATGCATCTAGATATCATTTTCAGGCTTTATCTTATATGCAGAAACTGATGCAAACAATGCTGGTGAATAGAACTTGTGTTGGCCATAATGTATGCCCTGAAGACATAGTAAAGCTGATGCAGCTTTGTGAAGATCTAATTATTGTTCAGATGTTATACTAATGTTGATTTAAAAACTTGCCAGAGTTAACACTTGCAAAAGAGCATGGAAATGTCACTGGGAAAACCTTCCAGTAAATGCTTGAATATAAAATTATTTTTTAAATATTAATATAAGCTTTTATTGAGTTCTTTCAGATAGAATGTTGGAAAAGATCTGCCCCTCTAGTGGGAGATAAAATCTTGTGTCAGACTCATGCATATGTTCCACCTATTACTGGGCTAACAAATTGAAGGATACTCTGCTGCTGGAAAATGTTAATGTTATTTTAGTTCAAAGTTGCCCAAAAGAAAAATAAGAAATAAATGTACAATATGTTTGTCAATCTAACAAAAAAACCGCAGCGTATTAAAATTAGTAAAAAGCGCAGGTCAAAGAATGTTATGCACTAAATTCGCCGACTTGTTCATTTGATTCTTACTATATGATAGGAAAATGAAACATTTACAAGAAAAATGGAATTGGAATTCAGAGCAGTGTGTGGGGCAAGACAGAGTGATTAAAGACATTTGCAAGCACTTTATAAGAGAACCAGTACGTGTTGTGAACTGTTATTTTGACTTCAGACCACTAAGTTAAAGGTGCTGAATTTGTTTTGAAAACAGAGGTCAGCAGGGTTTAGCCATGGAGTTGGTGGAAGATTCTTGAGGATATTGTAAAAAAACAGTTAAGTCATTTGGGTGATTTCATGTCCAAAGGAAAATTTTTAAGGCTTTATGAATCAAAAAAAAAAAAAAAGTTTGAAAACAGCAGAAAAAAAACACCTCTGGAAAACAAAATTTTAAAGTATATATTTATGTTCTTATGCCATCAAGACAGGATCAAGAACATCCGCAATGACAGAGGAAATTGTTTTGCATGGAAATGGCATTACATTCTATTGCTGTCTACTGTTAATTCGTAGCGGTAGCTCTGGTATTCAGAAAAGGGTAGTCTACGGATTTAAGAGAGAAAAGTTTCACACTATTAATTCTATTTTTTTTTTTTCAGTTTTTATCCATTTGAATTTCCTACTGCAACTATCCACTGAGGACTAGATTATCTGATTTATTTATTTTTTAAGCTATTCCATATTAGTTCCACAGGATGGACATATGGTGAAAGCTTTCTTCACCAGAAGTGAGCAAAGTTTGCTTTATGGCATGCTTGTCATCAGGCTAATATTCAGTAGATTTATTTCCAATCTGAGAAAGGCTGAAGGGCTTTTCCCTCAGAAATAAGCTGTTTAGGAGCAGAATGCCAGAACAATTAATGCAGCTTGCTTCCAGGGGAACTTAGATGTAAAGAAAGCATTGAAATTTGTATTTCCTGGAGAACAGAAGAAAGGTTGTAAAACTGTTAGAATTTTTGTGGTTTTATTTTGTTATTATTTTAATGATATCTGCATAAGTTTCTTTACTCCCAGCAACTAAGATGTCAGGTATGGGAGGTGACCTGATGATAGAGGGTTCCTTAAATTTGTTTGACACCTGTAATGCTCCTAGAGATCCTGGCTGGAACACAGGACTGTGCTTGCTAGTTATGGTACAACATCAGGACTCCAGTCTCATGTTCTCTGACCTCCTGTGCAAATGTAGTGGGTTAAACCAACTGCATTTTACTATATGTGAGAGACAGTCTTAGGTTCACAGGACAGAAATGAGGGCAAATGAAATGGGGTAAGCTGTTTATAAGTGTTGCTCTTAATGAGTACGTTTTGACAGTGTTGGCTACGGATTAATATAATACTTCTCTGAGATACAAAAGTGTGTTTGAAGTCTAGTAGGAAAGCACTGAGGATGAGGGGTAGAAATGTCATGAACTGATTACCAGGATTTGTGACAACTCTTTTCAGGGGTCCCAGTACTATCCCAGCTATGTTGGAGGATATTTTAGGGAATAAATATTGTTGCTTGTCTTCAGACAAAAATAATTATTGACAGCAGTATTCAAGACAAATTTGAAAGCAATGTTGCTCCAATGTGATTGCTTTTTGCATTTTTTTTTTCTTCATATGATTACTTTCAGTGCAGGTAACTTATAGTGATTATATGTCTGTTAAATCTATGGTAATTATACTGTGTTTTTATGCATGATATCCTGGTGCTTGTAATTTCACAACATGGTATTTTGGTCTAAATCAGAGAATTATGAATTGTTGCATTCAAATTATGCATTTTAAAGTCAGCTCACTGCAAGCAAAGATTTTTGCATTTGGAAAGAAACATAATCTCCTGCTTAGTACAAAAAAAATTGGTTGTATTATGTGTTATTCTGTACAGTGCATCTTGCAAACTGCTTACATTTCTAGCTCATGTTAGAGTTAGAATGTATTTCTCTTTTTTGTTTATTTTGTGTAAAATAAGGAAAGGAATAGTAGAAAGCTAACCAAATATATGAAAGAAAATACATAAATATATGTAGTATTTTCAAGTAATGTGTTTCAGAGTTTAAAGTAATATACTGTCAATTAATTAATTCCTTTTCATGTGAATGTCATAAAAATATAAACAGAATGAGCCTGCAAATAAATATTGGTACATTAATGATTATTAAATTCTAAGAGTCATTACATATTAAATATGTATAAATTTCAACTTCCGAATATCCATAATGAACTTTAAGCATATAGAAAAACATGTCAAAAGTTACAGATACACAGATACAGATGCAGATCCAGATATAAATATATCTAAAAAAGGAAGCCAAATTACCATTTCATGTAGTTTCGTACTTCTAAAATCAAACATGCTAGTTTTTACCTTTATCATTGGTAATTTTAGTTTATATGTCTGTAATTCTATATAGTATTTTGCTGAAACAAAATTGCATTAAATTAAGAGGGGTCCTGATTAATAAAAATGTATCATCTAATTTCTCATTTATATTGTGAACTTTATTGAAGAAGCACAGAACACAAGTGTTTTTTTTTTTTTAAAAAAAAAAACAAAACACAAATCTGTCATTTCTAAAACATTAAGATAATATGTATTAACTCTGTATTTTCCAAATATGCACTTACCTCCTACTTGAGTATTAGGTATACTTAGTGTGCTTATTTGTCTTGTCTTTTAGCAGAAGTATAAGCAGGTAAGTCATCACGTGTGCAAGCTTTCTGAATCAGCATGGCTTTTGCTTTGCACTTAGTTATATTATACCTAAAATAGCGTGCCTTGGAATTCGTAATGGAGGAATATATATATTTTTTCCTATTAAAAGCTCCACTTTATTCTAACCATGTAAACAAGCAGGATAAAACAGTTATTTTGTTTTCTCATGTAGACATTGTTTCATGCTCTGGAATGATGGAATGCGGCTTTTTTTTTTTTTTTTATTCCCTCCTTTGGAATGGTTTATGTGATAGAAGTGCTTTGAGCTCATTCAAGAATAACATGCATTTGATTGTCAGCAAGACAAATTCAAATCCTAGAGTCACAATGCAGTCAGTGAATTAGGCAAAAATTCTTCCAATAGTAGAATTCAGCCAAAGGCGTATATGCAGTGAATCTTCTCAGTTTGCAAAGTATGTGAAAGTATGGCTTTCACACAACAGTTACTGACAGTATGCTGCAATGATGACAATTTCACATGAGATACTTCTTTGTGAGGTCAAGCTGCCAAATGGTGAAGTTTTCCTTGCCTTCAAACAAGCGTCTAAGTTACAAAATAAATCTCACTGTATACATTTATTTCAAAACCTGTAACATTTTTTTATTATTTTCTAAGCTGATATTTTGATTATTAAACATGAAATATCAAGTCTACAACTGTATTTTTAATGCATGTGCATTAGTCTCACAGTAACTTGTTTTTCAGGCTGGTTGGAAAATGGTGATACCACCATTTGAGAATGCATCTTAAGTGAAAGCAAAGCAATTCACTTGGTTGCGGTACTGCCCAGGTTTAAGCAGCTAATACAGCCAGTACTGGAATTCTCATGATAGTGACCTGTGCAAGCTTAGCGAAGGTGTGCTGTCCTGCTGGAAGATGGGAAGTGTCAATAAAATTAAAATGAAATAGCAAACTTAAGAATAGAGCTCAATTATGAGATGTCTTTTGTATAAGTCCATTTGCTTTGAATGGTTCACATGATGTTTTAGTTTCCAGTGATCTGGGCAAAAATGTGGGAAAACACAAAATTTCCTGAGCCAGGGAATGAAACTATCATATTTAATATATGTGGTTATCTGAAGTTCTTGCTGAAGATTTCTGGCCCAGGTTCTTCGGTAAAATCCTCATGTAATTGTTGACCTGAGTGGAGCTATATTGATTTATACTGGCTGTTTCTGTGTTGTACAAAGTGGAAATCAAAATGATATTGCTAGATATGAACATATTTATTTAATCATAAATGCTGTCAGATTTGTTTATTTTTATTTTGTTGATGAGTAGTAGATTCTTCTGTTTTTAACAAGTTCTTAAGCTACCTTATTGCCTATAATATACTTCGCCACTCAATTTTTCATTCTCTGTTGAGCAGTTAGAAGATGACTCTATCAGTGCACGGAGTCACTACAAAATAATGTTCTGTCTGTGCTTCAAATGTAGGAAAAAATATATATATATATTTAACTTACTACAGCACACTTGTTTGGTCTTTATGTTTCTAAATTAAATTCCACATTAGAAAAGGTTTTGAGGTCTAAATCTTGTGAATGTTATTTATGGAGCTGAAAAATTAATTTTTATCACTTTGCTTTTTCTTGCTAACCTTGGCACTTTCCTTATATCACCTGATTATTTTGGCAGAAGTTGTAAAATCAATTCAAAAATGAATCCTTCTTCCATCTTGACTCAGCATAATGTATGGTGCTGCTTCTTTCTCTGTGACATTATATCTTGAGGCCTCTATTTCTTCCTAATTTCCTATTATGTGTACATGCACGTGACAAAGACAGAGGGCCTAGTATAGAATTAGGCCTGTTTGTAAAAATGGTATACATGGCAAATTCCTGTACCATTGTAGCGGGTTACTTACTAATGAAGAAGGCAAGAGAGAGTTCCAAATGGCACTAAACAAGTGGCAAACTGTGATTTCTGTTTAAGTTTCTTATCCGTTTTTGGCAGGACTTTTGTCTTTTTTACCTGTCTGATGCAGCCCATCTTGTGTATCACAAGGTCTTTGAGGAAAGAGCTGATAATACTGAGCTCTGTAAAGTGAGTAAACTGTAAGATTGCTAATTCTTGATTTGTGTCTACAAGCACCAAAAATGCAAATTAAACCTATCATTCATGAGTTTGGTATGTGACAAAGGAAAGAAAGGAGGAAAAAAATACATCAGAGTGAGAGCAGAGACAAACCCTAGTGGATTTCTAGTCCTTCCTAGTTTGAACATTTAAGGGCAGCCACTTAAGCGGTCATTTAAACAAACCCCAGTTCAAACCAGAAGTTAAATAGCAGAGATGTGTTTTACCAGGGTCAAGCAACACATTCTTTGGGGATGGATATGTTGCTTGATAGACAACGAAATCATCAACTACAAGTCCTGTAGATCTGTACTAACAGGTCCTTTTGCAGAATCAGAACTCCTTGAGGAAGAAGTAGGAACAGTAGAGGCTAAAATAATGGGCCCAAGTGAGCAGCTTGCTGAGATCCTGTGAAAGCTGCAACAGACATTTGTATAAACAGAATACAGCATAACATGTAAGTAGATCTTGGAAGGGAGAGCGCAGCCTACTACTGTAAATTACCTCAGATTAAGAGGCATGCAGCTATAAGGCTGCAGCCTGTGGCAATTCAGAGTTCATTTGGCTGAGAAGGAACCCTCCCCAGGACAGAACTAACTGTGACACAAAACACCACTGCTTCCAACATAAGGCCTGTAGGGTGACTTAGGACATGAAACCTTAATGTGGAAGTTGTTGAGGCATCATCTTGCATACGTTTTGGAGTCTTCTGTTTGTACCTTTTTGTTTTCCTTGGTACATGTTTGTCTTTACAAAGGAATAAATTCTGTTGGCCCTTGACTCTGCATTTCAATCTATAGTAAACTAGAGGCAGGGACTATTAACTTGTGCATTCTACTACTAACTGGAGTTGTCACATGCAGGAAATCCAGTGTTTGTTGATTATTCAAGACTGAAAGGAGATTCTGGAACAAAAGGAGCAAAGGTTCTGCCACCATAAGAGACATGGTATGCTTTACTAAGGAGCAATGGATACCTTTTGTTGAGTCTGGGAGAGCATCCACTATATGTGATTCATTTTTTTGCTATTGTTGTTACTAAGATGAAGTTTTGCAAATGATATTTGTCTCTTTCTGGACTCTCCTTTGCTGTACTGGAACTTTGCAAGAGTGAAGGAGAGCAGTGAACATAACTTTCTCAGCCTTGAATTTTTTTTGCCTCCATCTGGTCTTCATGTTATGCAGATTGTGATGACAACAACTATTGACCATGAAAATATTTTCTGTGATGCACACCAGAGTTAACCTTCCAGCAGGAAAGAGAATTTGGCCAATGGACTATATTGAAAGATTACACCAAGCTGGTCCCAGATAGCACAGTCTCAGGAAAAATATACACAGCGCCAGTTTTAACAGCAGACATCCTGTTTTTGTTTTTCAGAGTTCTGTGGTTTAAAGCTGTGGTGTTTAAAGCTCTTCATGCTGTAAGGAAAAGCAAAAGTTACAAATTCTATATGTCAGCATGGTTAAGCAACTGTGGTTGAGTATGCATTTTGTAGCTCACTAAGGTCACGTAAAGGTAAATGTCAGTTGGTCTCTTTTAGCAGAAAGCAGTGTAATGCTGCAGTTCAGCAGTCATCACGTCAGCTCTCTTGGGAGGAAACCTTTAGAAGGTGAGGTCCTCATACAATGACCATCATCAGTGGTAATTGCCATCAGCTGAACAGCTGTAGTAATAACTCTTCAGCTGGAACAGGCTGCCAGGGAAGTGATAGCTACACCTGTTCCCCACGGGAAAGTGGGGTCTTAATTACTTTTGATGAATTGAGAGTGAGACCAACAGTTGCTATTCTTTGTGAGGCCCTGTAAATAACAGAGTCAAATCACATTAGGGAACGGTGGGTTTAATACAATACTAGCCAAAATAATTCTATGCAAAAGCTTAAAAAGTGTTTATGTACTTTTGCTATGTTCTTATGAATCAATCTGTATGTAATCTGGCTGTAAACATGGTTCACTGTCTCAGTTAGAAGTCTTGAAATGATGTGACAGAAGCATAAATAAAGATCTGAAAGTGGAAGTGATCAGATATCCACGGTTCCCCACCTTCCCCCCTCCCCTTATTTTCTTTTATTTTAATTTTAAGCTCGTAGAATGAAAAACAGCTTTTAGATTGTATGCAAGAGATTTTATCCGCCAAATGATTAGCAGAACAAACCAACTTCAAAATGTGGTTATTGCACAATCAAAGGAAGTGGGAAGAGAAAGAGGAAATGGTTGATTGCCAAAAACTATAGAAGAACCCTGAAGAGGGGTGGAAAAGATAAGTCTTAGATAAGGCAATGCTTGCAAAGCCTTAAGCCCCGCAGTGTAGCACTCCATTCAAATAGGGAAAACTGAGACTCCAAGGAGAATGATTTTGTTTCAGGATTGCTGAATCCTGATACAAAAGGAGACAAAATAGGCAAATGAATCTTCACTGAGGAACAGAACCTTCTGTGAGGACTGAGGATTAACTGAGGGCAAAGAAGGTACTCTTTCATCTGTGCTTGTGTTTGCTCTGGGTTACCTGGAAGAACAGAGCACGAAGTTGCTCCCCGCTTCACCAGAAGAGGGATCTATGGGGATGAGGGGGCACTTCGCACTTTTTTTCAATGGAGTGGAAAATACCACTTCTGTTTGTAATTCATGGAGATATAGTCAAAGGAAGGTGCTCCATACTTAGTCTTGGCATTTAGATTTTCTCCCTAAAAGCAAATTCAGGAACAGTGGTTTGTTTGTTTATTCTAGTGGAAGTGATCGATTTATCATAAGATTGACATATAGGAAAAATGAATGGCTTTCTCCATTGCCCACTGACAGAAATTTTATACAAAGTGAATGGAACAAGCTATAAAACTTATGATAGGTTTTAAAGCTTACATTAGAAGTGCTCAAATAAAAAGGTGCTGTACGTACCTTTATAAGTTATTGATCAGTACTTGAAAAGAAAAGTGTTTTGTCCATCTTTCAGCTTTATTTCAGTCTTCCAGTAGTTCTCTCCATGAAGGTTTTTATCAGGGACTAAGAATATTTTCTGGTTGGTCTTTGGCTCTGGTTGAAAATCCCCCTGTGAATAACTCTTGACACAAAGCACATTTCAAGTCTTACTGAGTTCTTAGTTTATTTGTGCAAATACCATTTAGCTTTGTGCTTTTATCACAACTTCCTTATATAGTTGTAACTTTCAGTGTAACTACAGAAACAGTTCACATTATCAGCAACAAATCTATTTACACAGTACTATCAAATCTAGTAATGATAGTAATATTGTGTAGGATAACTGAATCTACTAAAAGGTATTGTTATAAAGCTGTTATTACTGAGATAGAATGGAACAGCTAGGGTACTTAATCATCAACTGGATCCATTGTGCTGCTTGTTGTCCTTTTGTAAATGTTCATTGATTATCTTAAAATATTGCTTCATTTTTGAAAGTGTGATTGGGCACTTTTAATATCGTATAAATATTACTTTTATTGTTACGGAGAAAGTTGTGAAGCAATAGTGGCTATCAACTAGCTACTAAAGGGAATGGTTTTATAAGGGGTAAAATCACCCAAAAGAAGCTGGTTGGCTAAATGTCAGCAGCAAGCTCAATCAGAGTGCATGCTATTCCTGGATTTGTTATGGTTTGCCTACTTTCACCACAGTTACATTTCAACCATATTTTTGAAACTGAGATGAACTGAAGGGGAAAGATGAAAAATTTGTACGTGGGCAATCCACAGTAACAACAAAGATAGGGCATTTATATCTTGTTTCCAGCTCCCTTATTGCGCGATTGACGCTTACCAATCCTCCTTCTCAGGTACATCTAATATAGGTAGTAGTGATGCAACTAGTTGCACTGCATTATTAATTACTTCAAAGAGAAATTTGGATGGTGGTCTGACATTTCTGAACTGGAAAAGATAGAATAATTACATTTCAGTTGACAGTAGTAATTACTAATCTGGTTGTACGCTTCTTACCATTTTAAAGCCTGATGTTAAGTTACACTCTTTAGTACTTCCTATTTTTGTATAATTGTTTTTAAATTTCAACTTTCTAAAAAGGCTGTTTGAGGATCTATTTCGACCTCAAAGCATTTTATTAGCAAGTAATATGAAAGAAAGGCTGGCATTAGTATAAATTTACTCCATTATGTAGGTTTCTCAGGAACTGATCCTGTTTTTGTTGTTGGTTTGGCTTTTGTTTTTTGCCTGAAGGGTAACTTTTCAGACTTACTTTTAAGTGCGGATATTTGGCCAGTGGAGGGCACTGTACTATAGCACAATGAGAGACAGAAACCCATTTCTTTCTGAAATACGATTTATCACTTCAACAAACTTAATTACGAACTTAATTTATAAGTGTCTGAATTTCTCCAGTGTTTAGCTGGCAAGTTGCCATGCTAAGGAAAAATGCTAGATGCACTTGAACATCAGTTTAATGAGAAACTTAACCAACCTCCAAAGACTGAATTTGGTATTGTGGTTATACTTTCTGGAAAACAAACTAGTGTAACAGCCCACTGAAGGTTGTCAAAATATAACTAAGTGCATGTATCATGTAAGCCTCTGCAACCAACGGTTCCAATCTGATGGAAAAGTCTGAAGTGAAAAAGTTGTTTTGGTAACAAAAGCTATAAAAAAAAAAAAAGTGTTGCATATCATTAAATTCTTCATAAGTTTTCTAATCACAGGATTTTACAGTCAGGATAGAATTTTTCATGCAGGGTGTCATATGATCCTGAGATACATAGTTGAGAATTTCTGTCTTGTGAAAAAAATAAGTTGCAAAGGATGTATTTTTTTTTTTTTTTTTGAATAAAAGACTCATGTTTGATATACTCAAATTATTAATGTCAATCTCAGTAGCAGGGTAGAGAATGGAAATAATGCAACTGATTCATTTGTCTAATGTTTTTGAAAAGGATGTGAAGAGGAAGACTGGGCTCACAGTCTTTGTTGTCATGTTTTGTCTGTATGAATGAGGATAAAGTTGGTAAAGGGAGGAATCATTTTCTAAAGGTTTTGTTTATGCTTCATAATATGTTGAGGTTTTCAGTTAAAGATTCATATTACACTGCACATTGTTATGCTCATAGAGTTGCATGATACTTGACAGTAGGTAACTGCATTTATAGGTATCTGTGGTGAAAGGTTGAAGTGTAACATTGAGTATGTCCTCTTGTAAGGATGACCCTGTACAACCCTTCCTACCAGATCACTTCAGGTTCTTATTGTTAGAGAAAATGAAGTAGTTCCAAACAACACATACTTCTTTCTCTTTCCCCTCACCTTCCCCTCAGTCCCAACCTCCGCCCACCCCCACAACAAAAGATGGAAAAAACATGATGTTTGCAATGTACAGAGAAGTGTGGCTTTGTTGTTTACCATGGTGTAATAAGAAATTAATGAGCATGTATTCTCTTTTGACTTTGCTTTTATGGTTTTGTAACAGTTTCAACTTCAATGGTTTTTATGAGACCAAGTTTTACATTTACATGCACATATCTGTTGCATTCATTGTGTCTTTTTACATGTATGTAAAGTACGTTGAAGGAAAGAAAAAGCACAGTGACGGTACTTCAGGATGTCTGCAGCTAAACTGCATACATCATTCCTGATGTGGTCTAGCACCATCCACAAGCCACGTTGCACCATATGTTTTCTATTGGCAGCATTCAACAGAAAAATGTTTTAGACATTGTACACGCCAGTTATCCTTCCTTCTTCTTTCTGCAGTGGCTTCCCTGTGCTACGCCTGTGATAGAAAGCATGGCTATCAGCAGCTATAAAATCAAAAGCGCAACCATTCTGGTGGGTCTATAAGCAATTAGAGGGAAAGTGCAGAAGAACTTGAAGGAATGAGAACATGATTTGCTTTCATAGGAGTTCAGGTTGTGGCCATGAAGGGGAGGGCTGGGGTGAAAAACTGTGATACTAACTAAGGCAGAGTGTATAAATTTTACCTTACTGATATCTGAGTGCTATACTGCTATCCTTCTGAGCATTGTGTTGACAGCACACCCTTGCAAGCCAGAATAGTGACTTCCATTTGGAAGAGTAGCATTTCATCCCCATAGCCTACTTTCTTAAGAAGTGATGTTGACTGTTTAACAATATGTTGCTCCTACAGAAATAATTTCTGGGGCAGTATCAGCCAGAGAAAGATGCAGAAATTTGAAACGAAGATTAAGGGAGCTCAGTGTTGTTAATTAATTGGTTGTGATAAGTGGATTAGAGGAAGAAGAGAGAAAGGAGAGACAACTTTATTACAGATGTGGAGAACAGTTGTATAGTGAGGAAATGCTATTTTTCTGTATTTCAGAATTGATTAACAATATCATGAAAATAAAATTTATTATTGCTATTCTATTTTAGAGTTTGTTTTGAAAGTTTTAAAATTTAAATGGCATAATTTGGCTATGGTGTTTCATAGTGGATATGAAACCAAGAAAGTTCAGAGTTTGATTTATTTCTATCTAGAAAACAGGTAGACTGTCCAATTACCTGATGATAAATGAATGAAGATTTTTGCTGTGTTTTTTTTTTAAGTGTTAATTTGATATTTACCATGCGGAGCTGCAATCGTATTTGCTAACCTCCAGACAATCTTATTCTGGAACTACTAGAAAAGCCCTTTCCTTGTTGAAATATGAACAA